CCCAGTGGGGACACATGGAGCTCTGGGCAGCACTCTTGGACCCCGCTACCTGTGCCAGCCTTTCTGAGTATTGTGGCTAGTGTGCCTACCACACAGTACTGGTCAGTGGTGCGGGTGTGGGCCCGGCAGTCTGCACAATGGGGTGATGTTCCTATGTGTCATGGACTCCAAGCAGAATGTCAATGTTTCTGGGAGAAAAAAGAAGTGGGGTGCACCTCCCTCCCTGCGTGGAGGCACTTTTACACGTTGCTACATGAGATGGGCTCTGCATCTCTATGTGTGAAGATGCAGAGCTGTCTGTGGGCAATGAATACTTGTGGGGTTGCCAGGTGCTCTGCAGGTTTGGACTGAGTCTTGGCCCACTTGCCTCTGGGCGTCTGGATCCCACTCTTGCCAGCTTCTGTTCCCTGACCTTGGTTATCACCCCATAGCTGCTCCTCACCTGGCATCGCCCCTCTTTGAGGTCACATGTCACCAGAACCCAGTTCTTAGTGATGCCACCTGGAGCAGTCATAGCAGTGGACCTCCTCCATGATCTGGCAGCCAATCCTGAGCTGGAGGCCTGCCTTCCACCTGCCTGGCTGGTGACATGACCACCAGTCACACTGGTGCTCAACTCTACCTCCTGCTGGGCTCCCCTGGGACTCCTCTGTGGAGGGAGCCCTATGCCTGCTGTTCTGGAGGCAGGTTGGGCAGGGGTCTGCGGCCCTTGTGAGCAGAGGTGCCTGGGGGCTCTGCTCAAGGCCTAGCCACCAGCAGGGTCAGGCAGAGGAGGCCCTGCCTGTCCTGTCCTGCCAATGGAGCCCCTTTCTTTGTATTTTGAACCAAATAACATGGACTTTGTTGTGAGGGTGTGGACGGTCCTGCGTTCACCACATAAACACTACCCTTTGCTGCTGACACTCGCACCATTCCTGAGCTCATTTTGGACGGTTTTTGTTTCTTTGTACAGTAAATGTAAGCTCTGACCTCCAGGCTACATTTTATGTGAATTAAAGTCTCTGGTTTTAACTGGCTGGTCAGTTGGAGGTGTGAGGTGGGGTGGGTCTGCACTCTGACACATGATGGGTTGAGGGCTGCTTTGTCGATCCCACCACCCCCCATGACTAGTCTTGTTGACTGGTACACATCCTGGCCACTGGGGCGAGTGTGGCTGCATCAGCCTCCCTGGATACAGGGATGAGCTGTGTTTCTCTGGATTAGGCAGGCAGCCCACCCAGACTGTCCTTCCCTACACGGCAGTAAAGCAGATGGCTGGCGGGATCACCTGTTCCCGCTGCCCCCAAAGGCTGGAGCCTGGGATCCTGAACCTGGGAGACTGAACCCTCCCTGGGGGTATTGGTGGGGCATAACCACTGCTACCTGGGAGGGCAGTGAGCTTGGAGCAGGAATGTGGTGGAGACGGTGGGCCGTCCCCTGACATGCACTCCAGCCCAGGACCATCACACTGCACATTACCCCCACCTCAGGCCGCAGCTTTGTGGGAGGGTTCTGGGCCTTGAGCCCCGTCCAAAGTCTGGCCCACTGGCCCCCCATGCCTGAGGCCCCCTCACAGAGCAGATCAATGGCGTCCTCTGCACCTGGTATGTCTTTTGGTCTCATTCTGACCAGACCAGGCTCTTATTACCCTGCCTCCTGGGTCAGAAGGTCAGACACAGGGTCATGGGACGTTTTCATCCAGTCTTAAAGCAGATGCTCCTGGGGCCCCAGACCCCAGGGAAGGGTTTGGAAGGGCAGATTCTGGCGGTCCCTGTGTTTGATCTCCCTTCCCCCTCCTTCCGGGTCCTGAATCCAAGCTGGGAGGGTCTGTGAGGCTGCTTTGATCCCCTGAGCCCAGAGCCTGGAGGGAGGAGGGCCTCCGGTTACAGTGTCCCCTCCCCTCCCCACTCTGACCAGAGCCAGCCCTTCTCCGCCCCTCAGTAATCCTGGTGGCCAGTGTCTCCTTGCTCCTGGGCCTCAGCCCCTCCCCCACCACGCCCCCTGCCCTCTGTTAACCACAGAGGGCCAGGCTGTGAAGGGGTCTTGCCAGAGCTCAGATCTGGAATCTACCCAGTCCTTTGCACAGGGGTGCTGAGAGGGAGCATCTGCTGTGGGCTCAGACCTTGGGGGCCCAAGGTCAGGGTGCTGACCACAGGCCTGGAAGGGTGGATGCCTAAAGGGATCAGCGCAAAGCAAGTCCTGAAGGGCTGGCAGCCACACGCCCCCGCCCTCTGGGCCGGTGGTCCCCATGTCAGCCCAGAGGCTGCTTCTACCGCTACTCCTCATGGTTGGCCTGACCTCGGGGGCCAGCCTGCTGCCGGGGCCCAGAAGCCACTCAGGCGTGTGCCCCAACCAGCTCAGCCCCAACCTGTGGGTGGACGCCCAGAGTACCTGTGAGCGCGAGTGCATCGGGGACCAGGTGAGTGTGGGCACCATCCCCACCCACCCCGGTGGGAGTCCCAGGAAATGAGGGTGGCCTGGGGGAAGCTCAGACCCTATCCCCTGACCCCCAGCCCTTGGAGTGTCCTTACTCTTCTCCCACATCCTGCAGGGGTTTCAGGCCATGCTCCTATGAGGGTCTTAAGGGACACTCCATCTTTACCCTCATCACCCACCAAACCTGCCCACCCCCACCCAGGGGTCAGTTCTCAGGACCAGCCAAGTAGAAAGGCAGGGGCTACATTTGGATGCCCCTTTGCAGCCTGGCCATGCATCCCCTGAAGTGGCCTTGAGCATGCTGCCCGTCTCCCCTGGGCCTCAGTTTTGTCATCTGCACTACGGGAATAATAATTAAACCTGTTTTGAGGGTGGGGGGGGGTCTGAGGATTCAGTAAGAAGACACAGGACTTGTCAGTGAGGCAGCTGTAATAGCCCTGGATGGAAATTTGTGCAAGCCTGCTTGGCTTTCCAGAGGGAAAACTGAGGCTCAGGGAGATGGAGTAGGGGCACCCCAACCTAACAATGCCAGAGCCCTGGCTGAGGCTGGGGAGTGTTCGGTAGCCTGCTGAGCTGCCCCTCACCCACCCTCCTGCAGGACTGCCTGGCCACTGAGAAGTGCTGCACCAACGTGTGTGGGCTGCAGAGCTGTGTGGCTGCCCGATTCCCTGAGGGTGGCCTGGCCACACCTGCACTGGTGGCTTCGTGCGAGGGCTTCTCATGCCCACAGCAGGGCTCAGACTGCGACATCTGGGACGGGCAGCCTGTGTGCCGCTGCCGTGACCGTTGTGAGAAGGAACCCAGCTTCACCTGTGCCTCAGATGGCCTCACCTACTATAATCGCTGCTACATGGATGCAGAGGCCTGCCTGCGTGGTCTCCGCCTGCACGTCGTGCCCTGCAAACACATTCTCACCTGGCCACCCAGCAGCCCAGGGCCACCTGAGACCACTGCCCGCCCGACACCCGGGGATACCCCAGTGCCACCTGCCCTCTACAGCAGCCCCTCCTCACAGGTGGTGTATGTGGGGGGCACTGCCAGCCTCCACTGCGATGTCAGTGGCCGCCCACCACCCGCTGTGACCTGGGAGAAGCAGAGTGAGCAGCGGGAGAACCTAATCATGCGGCCAGACCAGATGTATGGCAATGTGGTGGTCACCAGCATTGGGCAGCTGGTGCTTTACAATGCCCGGCCTGAGGATGCCGGCCTCTATACCTGCACTGCACGCAACACTGCTGGCCTACTGCGGGCTGACTTCCCACTCTCTGTGGTCCAGCGGGATCCAGCCAGGGACAGGGCCCCCAGCGCCCCTGCGGAGTGCCTGCCCCAAGTGCAGGCCTGTGCCAGCCCCCTCTCCAGCCATGTCCTCTGGCACTTTGACCCACAGCGGGGTGGTTGCATGACCTTCCAAGTTGGCAGCTGTGATGGAGGCACCCAGGGCTTTGAGACCTATGAGGAGTGTCAGCAAGCCTGTGCCCGCGGGCCAGGGGATAACTGTGTGCTGCCAGCTGTGCAGGGCCCCTGCCAAGGCTGGGAGCCACGCTGGGCCTATAGCCCACTGCTACAGCAGTGCCACCCCTTCGTGTATGGTGGCTGTGAAGGCAACAGCAACAACTTCGAGAGCCAAGAGAGCTGTGAGGATGCCTGCCCTGTGCCGCGCATGCCACCCTGCCGGGCCTGCCGCCTCAGGAGCAAGCTGGCGCTGAGCTTGTGCCGCAGTGACTTTGCTATTGTAGGGCGACTCACAGAAGTGCTAGAGGAATCGGAGGCTGGGGGCGGCAGCATTGCCCGCGTGGCCCTAGACGATGTGCTCAAGGATGACAAGATGGGCCTCAGGTTCTTGGGCACCAAGTACCTGGAGGTGACGCTGAGTGGCATGGACTGGGCCTGCCCCTGCCCCAATGTGACAGCAGGTGATGGCCCGCTGGTCATTATGGGTGAAGTACGAGACGGTGTGGCTGTCCTGGATGCTGGCAGCTATGTCCGTATCGCCAGCGAGAAGCGCATCAAGAAGATCTCAGAGCTGCTAGAGAAGAGGGCCTGCGAGCTACTCAACCGCTTCCAGGACTAGCCCCACCTACCTAGAGCACTGCCTGCCCCTGTCCTCCAGTCCTCCCAGTCCCCGCCCCCCAATAAAAGCATTTCCCAGGAGGGACATCATGGCCTGCTGGTGCTGAGCCTCCCAGGGTTACCACCCTTCCTTTCCCCCATCCAGCCTGTAATCCAGCTGGGTCCTGCCACCACACTGGTGTTTAGGCTCTAGTCCAAGGTCACTATGGAGCACTAGTTCCCTCCTGGGGAGCCTCCTGTTTCCCTCCAAGAGGACAAGCCAGAACTAGGTCCAGGGGTGGGTGCCACCTCTGGTGGCAGGAGGGCCATGCAGCCAGTTCAGTCCTGCCTCAGCAGTCCCTGAGACTTCTCCCTTCTCTGCCGTGCAAGTGGAACAACAGGGTCTAGGACGTCCATAAGCCCTGACCCCATAGGCCAGACCTCTCCTGCCCCCAGGAATGGAGCCCTCGGAGACAGCTTGCACACCCAGCACCACCTAGGATGTTCCCAGGAAGAAGCGTAGTGGACACCAGCAATAGGACAGCAGGAAACACTTTATTCCCAGGCTCTCAGCAGCCCTGTGGCCACTGACCAAGAGCCCCCAGAATGGGCAAGGCCAGTCTGCATGGCCTGGTCCAGGGAGGCAGGGGCTGGCTCTCTGAGTCTGTCCCAGAAGGGGCCTCACTGGGGACATAGGCATGCAGGAAGAAGGGTTACTCTTTCCGGAAAATCAGGCATTTGTTGTTGGCTGGCATATCCACCTAGGAGAGATGCTTTGGCTGAAGAAGCTGCCCAGGGAGGCCACCCAGACCCCCCAGGCCCTCCCACCTACCATCTTCTCCAAGAGAAGACCGCTGGCCTGGCCCAGGTCCTCCAAGAAGGCCGTGTCCCGCAGCCCCCACTCTGGGTTCCTGCAGGGGGAAAAGAGGTAGAGTTGGGAGTCACCAGCTAACCTGCCTTCCCAAGTAGGCCCACGCACACCCCCAGCTCTAACCTGCATCTGAGCGACAGGTCAAAGTCCACATTGCTCTGGGGAGAGATCTTCCCATTGACAGCGTAGGGCTGTGGAGACAGAGGGACACAGGGTCAGCCACTGGGCAGACTTGCAGGCTGCGCCTGGAGGATGCAAAGGACACTATGCTCCCTGCTCCCATGAGCCTAGGGGGTGTAGGGAGACAGGGGAAGGTCTGGGCCTGTTTCAATGGTGGCAGGTAGTGGGGGAGAAGGCAAAGGAAAATACTGAGACGGGAGGAAAGGATACTAGAGAAGAGGGGACGGCTGAGGCTGGTTGGGATCATAGGGTCAGGGGAGTTCCATCTCGTGCAGGGGCACTCACCCCATAGGTGATGAGCAGCGCCTTGGGCTTCAGCAGGTGTCCTGCTGCTCTGAAGAGCCCCTAGGGAGGGGAGAGGCAGGATGGCAGTGAGTAACTTTACCCAGGCCTCCAAAAGAGCTCTGGGCTGGGGGTTGGAGACTCAACCTGACCTCCCCAGGCCTCAGTGCCTTATGAAATGGGGCAAACCTGGCACCCAATGCAGGGGGAAGGGTGCCCCCTGGCGCAGGTACTGGTCCTTGGGTGGCTCGCTTCAGCTCCCACAGACCTCGGTGCAGTTCAGGGGACTGATGTGGATCATGTTGATGCAGAGCAGCAGGTCCAGCGACTGCGGCTGGATCCCGCCCCATTTCTCCCAATCCCAGGTCGCGTCCAGGTACAGCGGAGCCTTCACGTTGGACAATCCCTGGGCTTGAGTGGTGGCCGAGATGCTGTCGGAGGGGCAGCCCGTGAGTGGGGGTGGCCTGTGCACCCGTTTCTGACGCCCGCTACAACCGCGTTCACAGCAGTCACGTGGGCTCGAGAAGCCGGGAGAGGGGGCGGGGGGGGGGGAGCAAGGCCCACTTTCATCACCCGGGGCCCCGCCTTCCCCGCACCTGTCCAAGCAGCGCTGGTCCACTTCAGACGGCTGCCACTCCGCAAGGGGGAAGGCCCGCGCGAAGTGGGCTGCATGCTGGCCGGAGCCCGAGGCCACTTCCAGCACGCGAATGCCGCGCTGAGCCGGGTCCACATACTGCCGCAGAACGCGCAGAATTGGTTCCTTGTTCCGCTCGGCGGCCGCTGCCAAAAGCATCACGGCGCCACAGCTAGTCCGTCCGGAGAGGTAGCACGGCCGCTGCAAGGCCCGCCGGGAGTTGTAGTCAGGCCGTCGCGAAGCCCGCCCCCCGCGAAGCCCGCCCCCACGGACTACAGTTCCCAGGAGGACGCGGGCAGCAGTTTAAAGGGCCCGCTTCATCTGGAGGCGCGTAGGGGGCGGCCGCCCCTGCGGAGCATCGGCGGAGAGTTTGGGTCGCTGGTGTGCAGGTGCTCCTCAGCTCAGCACTCTGTCGCCATGGCTGCCCTAACATTTTCATAGTTCTTGTGACTCTGAAATGGTCTCGTTCGTGCTTGCACCGAAATGGATGGTTACCCCATGCTTCCGGCTTTCTCTCGGCTTGAAATTTCTGCTGTCACCGACAGTTTGTTGAGATGGAGGGAAAAAAAAAAACACGTGCGCCGCCCGGGAATCGAACCCGGGTCGCAAGAATGGGAATCTTGCATGATACCACTACACCAGCGGCGCTTGTTGGGTGCCTTGTGGCTCGCGAGACCTAGGAGGTTGTGACGCAACCTCCCCCTGCTCAAATGTCATAATGCGCGCGCAGCGCCACCCCTGCGGTCGCAGCCAGGGAGAGGCGCGTCTAGCGGCTGCAGGCGGCACCTAGGGTAGGAATGCCGGCTGCCCGGGTCCGCGGTGGTGGGAGGTCTCACAGCGTCGCTTGGGAGCTGGACCCAGGGACCGGGGTTTGTGAACCGCCTGGACGCGGGCCTGCGGCGTGGAAGCCATGGCAACCGCGGGTTTTCCCGAGCCGAAGCGTGCGGTGGGCGCTTCAGGTCGGCGGGCTGGTCCCAGCCTGCGGGAACCCGGCAAGCCTGAGAGAAGGCGGACTCGGTGATGCCCCGGGCTTGTCTGTGACACTGAAATGACCGGCGCTCGCCGGGGTCCGCGGATGGTGTGAGGATCGGTGACCCCTGAACCAAATCGGAGGCCGATTTGTATCCAAGGTGTTTCCCCAGTTGTCCGTTTGGGGCCCATGTCTCAGGGGGGCCTTTCTCGCAGGCTGAGAGCCGGTGCCCTGCAGTCCAGACTAGCTTAGCTCCTTTGCTGAGCAATTTTTCACGAGTGAGACCCCGGAAACCTAGGGCACTCAGACTCTAACCCAGACTTCAGCCTGGCATTGCCCGCCAGGGGCCAGGGGTATGCGGGGTGGGGCCAGCGACCAGGGGGTGTGGGTCTAGTCTAGTCAGATGTGGAGGGAAGTGAATCTCCTGAGTGGTGCAGGGTGGGCCCGTCCGCACAGCCGCCCTGGGAAAGTCCCACTCAGTGGACAGGCCTGCCCCCTCCGGGAAGAGCCATTGGCATTCTGCATTGTGACCACCCGACTTCCTTCAACACTTGACAGCCCTGAGCTTTTCTTAATCTGACTCGCTTTTTGCTTTGCTTTCTCTTGGTTTGTCAGCTGGACATTTTCCGAATCTCGGGGTGGAAGAGAAGTCTCTCTCAATGCACTCCCTGCCCCTGACCCCCTGTGACCAGTGATGGTCACCTGAGATCTCGCTGCCTGCGCCCCTCACCAGCCAAGCCCCTCACCACTCCTAGCCCACCTAGAGCCGGGGTGGGGAACCTTTTTTCTGCCAAGGGCCATTTGGATATTTATAACATCATTTGCTTAATATAACTCACTTAATATAAATTTATGTTGCTATAAAACAAAAACAGGCCATACAAAATTATCACATTAAAAATTAGCCTGCTGCCGTGGCTGGTTTGGCTCAGTGGATAGAGCGTCGGCCTGCGTACTGAAAGGTCCCGGGTTCGATTCCAGTCAAGGGCATGTACCCTGATTGAGGGCGCATCCCCAGTGGGAAGTGTGCAGAAGGCGGCTGATCGATGTTTCTCTCTCATCGATGTTTCTGACGATCTCTCTCCCTTCCTCTCTGTAAAAAATCAATAAAATATATTTTAAAAAATTAGCCTGGTATATCTTAATCAATAAAAAATATATTTTTAAAAAAATTAGCCTGCTATATTTGGCCAAACATTTACTAGTAATTCACTCACCCCTAATGCCGTGGCAGGGCCAGACCAAATTATTTCATGGCCCCTATACGGCCCCCACCCCTGACCTAGAGGCACCAGTTTCCTGCTTGCTTCACCTGCGGTTCCCTGGGCACGGGGCACCCTGTGGTATTGTCAGATAATAAATATATGTTCTGTCTTTGTTCCAGTCCCTGTCACAGAGCTCCTAACACACTGGGATGTCCTGAATGAGGGGGTGAGAGGAGCATTTGCTGTTATAAATAAGCCCCTTTCAGGCTTACCTGGGTTTACACCGATGAGGTAACTCTTGGGGGATGAGGGCTGGTTGCCAGAGGAACTCACCTTGTGATCATATGGAGCTTGGAACTTTCTTCCCTGCTCCTGACTTCCTCAGAGGTTGAGGGGCTGGAGACTGAGCTAATCGCCAATGAACAATGACTTAATCAGCCCGTGTTCACGAACTTCCATAAAAACCCTAAATGGAAACCTGGGTTGGTGAACATGTGGAGGTGCTGCTCCTGGAGGGGGCATGGAGCTGCAAATCCTCCCCTGCTCTCCCCATGCATCTCTGCTATCTGCTATTCCCTTCTGTATTCTTCTTCTTTTTTTTTAATGTATTTTTATTGAATTCAGAGAGAAAGGGCCGAGGTTTGCCGACCAGTGGGATAAAGGATCAGCAGCCGGTGATAGCATTTCAGAGGCAGTGATATATGAAAAATGTATTTAAGGCTGGTAGGCGGCGGTTCTATAGATTTAAGAAAAGGAGTGTTTATTTATAGATTAAACTACATTATACATGTACTATATATAAGAAAGGTTGAAACGGAATCATTTGAGGGTCTGGAACGGATTAATTCTATTTACATTATTGCTATGGGAAAACAATTCAATTTTCGAACAAATCACTTCGCAAACAGCCTTCTGGAACGAGGTTTGAGAAATGAGGTTCCACTGTACCCTAAAACTTGGTGGCTTGAAACAACAGACCTTCGTTTTCTCATTTCTGGAGGCCGGAAACCCAAACTAAAGGTGTCAGCTCCCTCAATGCCCGAGGCGGTTGCTGGGGGCTCCAGGCGTTCCCGGCCTGTGGCTACATCACTCCGGCGTGGGTGTCTCCGTCTTCGCTGTGCTGTCTCCTCTGCGAGTCCCTGTGGCCAAGCCGCTCTCTCCCTTCTCTTACAAGGACACTCACCAGTGGGGGTAGGGCCCGCCCCAATCCAGGTGCCTTCTCTCAGTCTTTGCCGCCTGATTCCACATAAGGTCACCATCTGAGGTTCGAAGCACATGTATCCTTTGGGGAACCCAGTCGACCCACTGCACTTGGGTTTGGGAATGGGCTGGGCCCTCCCTGGAAGCTGGGCAGGGAGGCGGAGCATGTAGCCAGAGCCTTTTCCTGGGCTGCTGGCCCCCCTGCCCCCCCTTGGCAGAAGCCCACCTTCCTGTCTGGATTGGTGTGGGCTGGGCCTCAGGTCTGGAAGGTGATTGAGGACTAAAAATGTAACTCCCTTCATTGTTTCCATAACATTTTAGTATTGCACCCAGGACCTTTTTAAAAATATATTTTTTTATTGATTTTAGAGAGAGAGGAAGGGAAAGGGAGAGAGAAACATCCATGAGAGAGGAACATGGACTGGCTGCCTCCTGCACGCCCCCTGCCTGGAAATTGAACCGGGGGCTCTTGGTGCACTGGACGCTGCTCAACCAACGGAACCACACCGGCCGGACTAGAACCGTTTCCAGGGTGGAAGGAGCAACAGGAGAGAGCCAGCTGGTCTCTGCTTCAGCTCTCTGGAAGCATTATGAAACCAGCTGAGCCACACCGGCCGGGGCGAGGTTAACAGTCCTTCATGTGACAGGGGCCAGGGGGTTATATAGTATATAGGACAGTGTAAAATGGATGGGGGCACTGGGGTGCAATCCACCCCAGATGAGGGAAAATGCTTTACGTGCTCGCCTGGTGTTGGGAGCCATTGAATTATTCGAGAACCCCCTTTGGAGCGGACTGAACGGACTCCTGCCCTACCTGCTCCCTGTTCTCGGCCCCCTTATAAGCCTTCTCCTAATCCTAGCTTTCGGCCCCTGGGCTTTTAGGAAATTAACAGACTTTGTAAAACAGCAGGTTGATAGCGTTCTGGCCAAACCCATTCAGGTACACTACCATCTGTTGTGCCCAGATTTCATGATTCCCAAGAACCCACAGGGAGCCAGCGAGTCCGATGCAAAAGCAAAGAGTCATTCATTTCAAACCTAGGTTTGGCTCCCCTGCCACACTCACCGATGCAACGGTAAGCTCCAGTGGCCGAGAGAGAGAGAACTCTGTGTGGAGAGAGGTTTTATAGGGGTTTGGGGTAAGGGGAGGAGAAAGGACTGTGGGCCCTGCTGATTGGCCAGGCGCGAGTACACAGGATGTGGTCATAGTGATGGCGTGCACTTCCCTTGACTATCTTCCGGGAAGAAGCTTGCTGAGCACATGGCCAAGTTAAGATGAAGGGCATAGCCCTTACCTTGGGGCAAGGTGGAGGGCGTAGCTCTTACCCTGGGGTAAGGTGGAGGGCGTACTCCTTGCCCTTTCATTCCCCCCTTGTCTTGGAACTTCCGGCTCAATCATGAGACGGACTGCATTTCTATTCCACCATTGCTAGAGGCCCATACTGGGCACACAGAACTATCAACTGAACTATCCCTATAAGCTTAACAAATGGCCCGGTGGAAGGGAAAGAAACCATTTTAGATTTAACAACTTCTATTGAAACAGGATTTTTCTTCTTAAAATTCCTCCATGGCTATCAAAAAGCCAAATCAAGATTAATTTATCTACTGTCCTGATGTTTGCATACACACAACAAGAATGGTAACTGACTACCTTTGCTGGAATTTCATGGTTGAATCTTAATGTGCCCCGTAGGGCCAGGAAGCCAAGCCATCCAGCTGCCATCAAGCCTGCCTGCAGTATCTGCTGAGTTAGGTGAATCCCTCACCTGTAGCAACTCCACCTGAGCCCACGCTCCAGGCTTTAAGGCCCATCTCAGT